TCTTGTTTTTAGTCATTTGTTTTCATCCTATTAAAGCAGAAAATGATGTCGCTGCCGACTAACACCACCACAGGAAACAAAGAGTGAATCAAGCTAATCACTCCACAAGGGACAGAAGAAAAATGGGTTTTGGAGTCAGTGGTTTACAGCCAGCAACAGAATTAAAGTCTCTCTGTGTTGGTTTCACCATTTCAGAATGAATGGCTACGTCCAAAAACATGTTGTTCTGTGTAGGAGCTGGTGTTTTGCAGCTGTCAGCACTCCTGTGAAATGCTCAGCTTTGCACATTCACAAAAAAAAAAAAAAAAAAAAAAAAAAAGAAAAGATGTTCTTGAGTTTCATGTTTTTTTTCTTTTGACATTTCCGAAGTTGTTAGGCTTATCTGTGTGACATCGTGGCTTTTAAGGCAACATGGTCTGAAATTGCTTCTCTTTTCCAGTGACTTTTTTATTGGCTGTCAGTCAGGCATAAAATGGATAAGTCTGTGTACAGTGTTTCCCCACATCTACGTTCAGGCTCAATCAAACTGGTCAAATTAGAGGGGTGCATTACAGGCATCAATGTAATTTTCTCATCACAACAGGGACGTTACACTCTTCCTACACATATCTGAGTCAAAGACCCCTGCTTGGATGATGATTAGACTGATAATTGGGCTGCCTGCGCTGGTATTGCTCCTAATGCTTCCAGAGCAGCCTCTCATCTTTCTAATCACACAGGATAAATGTCACATTTTTAACTGCGGTGGGGTTTAGGTGGCTACCTCTCGTCACCCAGTCATGAGTCCTGGAGGTGAAACGTGAAGACCCTCTGATGATGAAAAGAAGAGTTCTGATAACTGATGATCAGTGAGCTGCTTGTTATTGAGCTAAACAGGAGGAAGAAGCCCGCTGTTCAAACAGGAGAAAAAAAAACACAAAACAAAAATGGTGTCCATTACATGTACTTCATGTAAAGTTATAGATTCCAATAGGTGGCCAAGAATTCTTTAATTCATTCCAATTTTAATACATATTTTACTGGTCTTTTAAAGCCTGACTTGTCCATTGTTGAAAAGCAGGATTTCTATATTTAGAAACGATAAGTTTACACAACATGTGCCTACAGACACACTCAACACTTGTTTGTTCCTTCTGCGTATGATAAAAACAGGGGTTGGACTTTTATCCTGCTGGATCATACACTGCCTGTAAACAGACAACACATTCCAATTTCACCTGATTAAAGAAAATCCACTACATGGAATCAGCTTTCTCTCTGTTCTGACAACATATCCATTGCACTTTTTAACCCGGAAAAAAAAATAATAATAATTTAGACCTGTTTTAATTCAAAACAGTTTTTTTCTTTAATAAAGAAACAGGTAAAATGACAGTTTTTATTTACTAAACGTAATGGAAATAATACTTTAATGACCTAAGTTTTCATGACATGCTGTTTATTAGCAGATTAAAGTCAGAACAAGATCTGCTGACAACAGTCATTCTTAGATATCACTTGTGTTTATCTTTGTGTTTTCCATTGACCCAGCATTTCCTTAGGATGAAATCCTGCTTGACATAATAGTGTTTGTTAAACAGTAAATATGAGGCCTCAACTGCCTCAGAGGGAGAGAGAGGAGCAGAGAGCAGGAGGACAGTCTGATGTTGTTCTCTGTGTTTCCTGATGTTGCAATAAAACTCAGCTGATCATCCCACTGAGTACCTTCATTCTTGGACCACATATTTCTGTCTTTGTTAAATATTTCCGTAACACTCCACATTTTTGTAAAATTGTAAAAAAAGTTTTTAGTTGCTTTTTGAGAGATGGTCAACAGGTTGCTTGTGGCCTTCAGGTTGTTTTGCTCATAAGTTGATTAAACTTTCACTTCCAATAAAGTCAAATCTGCTGAAATAAAAAGAAACGGTGCCTCCACCTGCTGAGGGTCTGAAGTACTGCAGCTTATTCTGACACATTTCTCATGAAGACTTTTATTTGGTCCATCCTTTAACTAAAACTGATGAAAAGGAATCTAACGAAGTCAGGACTTTTTGACGGGTTCTGCTTTGAAACACGTCATCTTTTCTCCAAGAGACGTCTATAGAGAGAGAGAGCTCAGCCTCATTAGCAGCTGAACAGTTACAATGCTGTTACTGCACCTCTGTAAAATAAGCAGCCATCAGGGCACTAACAATTGGTCGTTAGGGTGATGGTCCTCTTGTGCATGTGAACAACCAGTTGATCCACCATGTGGAGGCAGTGCTTATAAGGTTGAGTTCACCTGGAACTCCTCAAACTGAAGGAGTCTCTTGGAGAAAAGATGAAATGTTCAAAGATGATCTGACTTGGCCTTATTAGATTTTTCTACCTGGGTCACTAAGCTGCATCGGGACATAATAAAGATGTTATTGATGTTAAGACAAGGTTTTTATGATTCGGCTGCTAAAAGCAAAACATTGAGGATGAATTCTGCCAGTTAACTTTGAAAGAATATAAGTTTTTCTAAAACAAATAATTCATTTTCAGAATTTCAGACAGGATTAATTATTTACTTGTTCTTTCTTACTGCCTTTTAGCAAAACATCTCATAAATGACTTTTCAATGAAAATTTCAGAAAATAATCACTTAATGTACAACAATTAAAGAACTTCTGGAAACATAATTTAGAAAACATAAAATTGTTGTAATTTAGTTGATTTTACTAGCATTAAGCTAAAATGATAAAATGGTAGTGTGACAAGAAAAAAATTGTATAGGTCTTCTGGACGGGTTTTTCTTTAATGAAACGTTTCGTCTCTCCTCCAAGAGACTTCTTCAGTCTGAGAGTTTCAGGCAAAATTCAGGCTTTTRAGYMCTGCCTCCAKGTGACTGATACTCACATCACATGGCTATCGTTSACACCTAATTAAYACCTATTGTTAACAGGGGKTGGAGTGATACTCGCAATAGCAGCGCTGTAGGAGGGGGACAAATGAAAACGGAGGCCTCCACCTCTGTTTAATGATGGACGGTCTTTCTTCACAAAAATGGCTTCTTTTACTCCTCTCTCAAACCAACGTTCCTCTCTATCAAGAATGAGAACATYCTCATCTCTGAAAGAGTGACCGCTGGCCTGTAAATGAGTGAAAACTGCAGAGTTCTGGCCATTAGATGTAGCTCGTCTGTGTTGGGACATTCTTTTGAACAGTGGYTGCTTTGTTTCCCCGATGTATATCTGGTCGCAGTCCTCCTGACACTTAACAGCATATACAAAATTGCTCTGTTTGTGCCGGGGCACCGGATCTTTGGGGTGAACCAGCCTTTGCCGTAATGTGTTTTGGGGTTTGAAAGCCACTGGGACATCATGTTTAGAAAATAAACGTCTCAGGTAGTGTGACACTTAGTTATCACGACACTACACACAATGTCATTTTTACAAACAACTATGATTCTCTGGTCTGATGCTGATGAATAAAACTTGTGACCATGATGAAAATGTGTTCTTGTTTACTGTGCTCTTACAATGTTCTCATTTAACAATGATTAAATAATAATTAAATAAAACAAATGTGCAGCCTAACTGTTTTGTGCCATTTAAAACTTAACAAAATATTTTTCATCGCTTGAACACAGCATCACAAACATTATTTTAAAAACATTACAGTAATTCTCATACAAATGTATAGGAGCAAACTGTTTCTTCTGTTAAGAGAAGATACTACACATGGAATAAAACAAAAACTCAACACTGAGAATCAAAAGATGATCTCTACAGTAGTGTATTATACTGTAGCTAACAGCAGTATTTAATACAGGTAAAAGTACCTGAGCAGATATATCTTTAATATTCAGGTGCTTTTTTTTAAATGAAATTACTTAAAACACTGCATCCAGATTTCAAACCTAAAAGCTTAAATGTTCAAGAAAAACAAATTAGACAGGTCAGGGTGCATATTGTATTTATTTTTAAATATGTATAATAAATTAGAACCACTTTGTATTTCTTGTCCTATGACAAAAATTAAATCAACATCTCATAAGCAAAAATGAAAAAGAAAAAAAAAAACTCCAATATTTCAGTGCAAAACTACGGCGAAGTATTAGGGCCACGTGAGATTTTTTTTTTTATTACAAAAATAAAATCATAATATAACGAGATGAAAGTCATAATATAACCTTTACATGTAAAAGCAGTCTCACCACTGCATTAAAATAAGGAATGTTGAGCAACTTGTGAAGTTGTTCTTCAGTATCGGTTAAGAGAAATAATCTTTTAGCACATTAGCATTGAAACGGTTGTGCAAACAACTATAAACTGAATCAGTTAATGGCTGCATTGTCAGATTTAGTCATCACGTAACTTGGATGAAAGCATATTACACCAGCCGTGACCCAAAAGTCATCGTGGACTAATTTATAAAACAGTGACACAAATGGCTGTCCACAGTGAGGAAAACAAGGAGAAAATGTGTAAAAAAATTGGGAACGGAAAATGTAAACATCATGTAAGATTACGACTTTATCATAATATTATGACTTTTTAATCATAATATTATGACTTTTTTATCATAATATTATGAATTTTTCCTCGTAATATTACAACTTTTATTTTATAATTTAAAAAATAAAATAAAATCTTGTAGTGTAGCCCTAATACTCTGTCGTACAAAACAGCTAAAGCCAAGGTAAGTAAAATAAGACAATGTCCTTCATTTAAAAAGCCAGTAGTTAGCACTTAAAAAAAAACTATAAAAATGGCAACTGTATAAGAGAACAGCTATTATTTTTGCTTTAGATGTTAATTTTGTAGCAAAGCAACAACTTAAAAAACTCCATCTTTATATACATACATGAATATTAGCGTTGTTATAATATACTCTTGTTACAGTTTCAACAAGTAAACCATGTGAAGTGTCACTTTAAGTGAATTTCTGAACATTAGACGTTTGTGATTACTCCAGATTTGTGTATTCATGTCAAACAACGTTTTTTAAGCTTTAGGGGATTTTAATGAACTACAAAGCTTGCTCAAATCATTCTCAGCTTTAGGGGATTTTAATGAACTACAAAGCTTGCTCAAATCATTCTATTAATTACTGAGTTGAGTCCTTTTTTCCTGTCATGAATGTTGAGCGATACGCAGGAACCCTGAGTAGTTTGCTGAGTTCTGTCAGTCCAGTGATCAAACCACAGTCATGCTGACTGAGTGAAGCTGAACTGTGGCTAAAAAAATAGGCAATAAAATAAATCGGCAAACATCTCAAACAGAAACGTTCATTCATTCGTCACTGCAGTTTCTTTCCACACAGTTCATTTAATCTAATCACACTTCAAGTTACTAAATATATATATTATGAATAAGTCTATATCACAATAAACTCTGATCTTGCTTTGCTCTTTAATACTGGTCCAACAAAAAAATCTTCAGTCTATATTACTATAATGTCCACATGATATTCATGAGAAACTTTAGTAACTCCTAACAATAACCTAATGCACCGATAACGTCTCTTTCTGGTGTTTTGCCAACATTCTAGTTCAATAAAGCTTTGTATTTTTGAAATAACCAACCTTAAAACAAACGATAGATAACTCAGGAGCAGGCTAACAAAAGAAATAAAGACTGCATAATTTGCAGGGAAACAATACTGTTTTGGAGCAGATTTTGGCAAAAAGTTGGTTTGTATTGAAATGGTGAAGGGGTGATTCATCCTATTCAGATTTTCGGACCACAAATTTAAAGCAACGTGACTCAAAAATAAATCAAAAATAAAAAGCATGACGAATGGTGATTTTTCAAAGTGGTCCAGAAATAAAAAAAACAAAAAACAATTTTATTCCAGACTTTAAGAAAGTTTAGATGCTGAGTGTGGCATCCACATCTTAGGGTTTCACAGTTTCTGACCCCCCACACTACACTCAGACGAGTGTAGTTTCTGTTCTCCGGGACCCTCTGTTAGCAGTCGGAGACTTCAGAAGTGTCACTGGTAAGTTTTCTGCGTTGCCTCACAGACTTTTCCTCATCCTGCAGAGCGGAGGACAGTGGAAATAAGTGATGCTCCGATGTCAAAATGTTACTTTTGCTCACAAAGGCTCAATTTATTTAATCCCTTAATGATCCCAAGAGGCCCAGTTTGATCGTTGTTGTATTGAACAAAACAAGGTGGAAGCAAAAAAAAAAGATCTTATCAGCTTCAGCGGCACAAATACTTTGACATTATTGAAGCATAATCATTAATTTCCCTTCAAAGACTAAAACCGTCTGTCTGCCAATACCATCTAAACTTTCATACTCAGTTACTCTACTGCTCATCCCACAAATGCATGTTCCTTGCCTTTGTGGCACCATTTACAGGAGAAGTTAACAGACTTTCCAACGATACAAAAAGTATTGCCAAGAAGCATTTATAGATATAACCTACCAAACACTAATTTTCTTACTTTTTGTGCTAAGTTTATATGTTTTTTTAAGAACTGTATTTACAAATTTTTGGAAAATGCAGTACATTTATTAGAATTATTTTCAGGAGCAGATTAAAATGGAGCTAATTCTACGTAAACAGCACCAAGTGGGATCATCTTAAAATAAACATTTGTTTACCTAATAATAAAGAAGCATGTATAAATAAATACAAGTAATACAAAAATTTGTAAACAAAGATAAATCATTGTTAAATAAAGAGAAATTCACTGAATGATCTTTAGATTCAGGTAATATGGGCAGCTGAGAGAGAGCAGAGAGTCCAAGCGAGCAGGAGGCTGTAACGGTTCCTTGCCACTGTTCGACCTCCCTTACTACCTGAACCGAGACTCGACAGCCATCATCAAGGTAAAGCTGGCTGTTTTACTAAGTGTTGCTGGTCTGACGGACGTCGAGCGAGAGACACTGCTCTTCTGGTTCCCATATTCCATTTATTTAAGATAGCAAGTAGAAATACTAATATCTTAATTCCTCCTTTTCCTTAAAGGGCCAATATTATGTGTTTCTTCAGGCATATACTGTATTTAAACACATTTAAATACTATACCATAATAAAGTTTCTATGTCACCTTTAGTTGTTATTAAAATGCTGTTTTTATGTTTAAATAGAAAATAAACTTGTCTTCTCATCACTTCCTCTTCTAAACGCCTTGAAATTGGCCTCTGTCTCTTTCTAAGAACCACCTTCTGCTTCTGTCTCGCCCATTTCAGTGTGTGTGTGTGTGGGCGGGGCGGGTGCTTCGCACGTGCGCTGATACAGTTTACTTGGCATCTGAAAATACATTTCCTCAAAGGTATTTTGAATCTGAAAACAGCTTCAGCTTCACTGAGTGAGCAGTGGTGTTAAGGGCAGCGGACAGTTTAAGTTTCACTTTCAGTTTCACTTGTTTGCTCTGTTACTGCCGAGAGCCTACAGGAGTCATGGGCGGGGTGTGTGGGGTGGGGAGGTGTGCTCCGTGATGAGGAAGTTCGGCTTAAAGACACGTCCCAGGGGCGTTTCTGGTCCCCAGCTGTCGTTTTGCTCCTCAGCATGGCTTCCTAAAAACGCTGCAGGATTTCTCAAACATGCATGAATGAGTCAAAGCAAGGCTTTGGGCATGTTTTTTTATGAGAGTCTAACATTATAACATGATATAAAACTCACAAAACGGGATTTTACATGATACTGCCCCTTTAAAACTCTTTGCCTTGCCAACTTAAGTTATTTGCCTCAAATATCTGGTATTCAACAACTAGCTGGATGTTTACTGTTCTATTCAAGTGCTGGATTGACAATTAATTAAGCTCGAACCGTGCTTGTTATTGTTGGTTCCTAAACTTTTATAGGAAATTGATTGCTCACAATTAAGTGTGCTGTAGTGATTTTGTTTGTGTAAATAAATGATCGCATTTATTGATGGATCGAATTGTAATTCACTGACTCAAGTCACTTATTGTGTTGTTCATTCACTTCTGCACGAAAGATATATCTACTGAAAATAAGAGATCCTTGCTAAATACTTTCCTTATAACTTTGTTGTAAGAAGAGTAGGGTGTAAATCCTACAAGTGTAAAGAGCTTTAGAGTCTGTAGGAACTTGATAAACTGCTATATAAGTTCAAGCCATTTACCATTTACCAATAAAACAGAAATTAAAATAATTCAGATTATGTGTCCATTTTCATTTGGTCATGTGGTTATTTGTACTCACAGTCTGAAAAATCCCATTCTGTCCCCATTCTCCAGGGGAGTGGTCTTCAGGGTCCTCTGCCTCTTCCTCTTCCTCCTCGCCCCCCTCTTCCTCCCTGACAGTGTCCATTGCATCTTCCTCATACTCAGTCAGACAGTCTGACTCCTCCGCTGGGTAGAAAGATTTAAAGGACATTTGACACAAATAATTTATCGACCAGCTCACCCAGCTCAGATAGCCCATCCCCCATAAATAATCAGAACTAGGTGAAAGCTAAGCATCTTTAAATCTAAGATGACCTTGAAGAGGAACTGGACTGAGTGGTTCCACAATATACATCTTAAAGACGGGACACATGAGTTGAAAGTACAGGGACTTAATGCACAAAATCTCTCTCAAAATTGTGAAGAAGTGAGAAGTTGGCTTCACCTTCTGTAGTCACGTAGCTTTGGACCGGTTCTATCCTGGATACAATCTCTGCCAGATCAGTGAAGTCAGCTCCTGGGCACGTGCAGGACTGAAAGAAAACATTTTTATTACTTTTCAAAGCAGCAACTTTAATGATGTACACATAGAGTATACATCAAACTAATAATATTTATGCTCAAAGGATGTACGCCCTCCTCACATCTGTTCTCTTGCCATCGTTATAGTCAGCTGAGCGGTGGTCCCTCAGCATGTTCTCGATGATGTCACCTCGAGCCCAGCCGGTGAACACCAATTTACCATGCTGGAAGCCCACATCCTGCAATTTATGTAAAAAGATATACAAACTTTCAAAGGCATCTTCTCTGGACATTAATTTTCATTTCCTTAAATGCAGGTTAGTCTCACTGAAACATAATTGTCACATTTGCAAAAGAGACCTGACAAAGACAGGGAATTCATAATGTGAAATATAATTATTGGAGTTAATATGGGCCTGATCCACAAAGATCCCAAATATTAAGAGTTAAATTGTGTGGGCAAACTAAAAAATTGCATGTGCTATTAGTAGGTGTGTTGGCAGTGATTTACTAAGATTGCTTCCGCAGTTGATAACAGGTGCAAAAGTGGTGCAGATCACCCTGTTGAAATGAGGATTTTGCATGTGGCACCGGCTGTTACCATGGAGAGTTTGGGAGAGCAGAGTGGCCGTAAAAAAATGAAGTTCGAACCCATGGAGGTCTTGGTGGAGGAGGCCAATAAATATTGGTGAACTCCAGCAGATACATCTAACTAAGTATTGCAAGAAAAATCGTGATTTGGGAGGCCATCCGTGAAAAGGTGAGTGCTGTTAATAAAACCAGAAAATATGAAGTGATATGAAGCTGAGAAGTGAAAAGAAGATATCTAAATGAGCCCTTAGGTCCTCCAGGAGCTCAAAAATGGCATTGATGTCTCCATCACCATTTTCTGCCACTTAAGCCTGGATTATACTTCAATAAGATGTGAGACAGTGGGTTTATGATTGTGCAATTTCAGCGCATCTTTTCCTGACCGAGTATAAATGGGTTGAAGACATGGTGGGCCATAAATTATCATAAATCTTCCCTCCCAACAGCTCATATAATGTATTTAACTACGATAACGATGGCTGGATAGTGTTTTTTCCACTCAACATCAGTATTAAGTTGAGTGAAGTAGAGGCGTTTTTTAATTTTTCTTTTGTTTGTTTTTTGGTTAACGGTGGACGGACAAATTTTGTCACTCAGCAGGGGGATAAAGATGTGCGACTTGAAGTATAAACCAGGCTTCATCCATAGTTGGGTCATGGAGGCAACAACAGGTCCAGGAGAAATACCCAGATATCCCTCTCCCCAGCAACACGTTCCAGTGAGTCCTGGTGGACCCCGAGTCCTTCCCAGACCACAGAGGATACATAATCCTTCCAGTGAGTCCTGGGTCTTCCTTGGGGCCTCCTACCAGTGGGACGTGCCTGGATCAAATCTAAAGGGAGGCATCCAGGAGGGATCCTAATCAGATGCCCAAACCACCTCAACTGATTCCTTTCAATGTGGAGGAGCAGCAGCTCTACTCCGAGCTCCCCCCTAATGACAGAGCTCCTGACCTTATCTCTAAGGCTGAGCCCGGCCGCCCTACGAAGGAAGCTCTTTTCAGCTGCTTGTATCCAGGATCTCGTTCTTTTGGTCATGATCCACACCTCATGATCAGAGGTGAGGGTTGGTACATAGACAGACCAGTAAATCAAGAGCTTTGCCCTTTGACTCAGCTCTTTCTTCACCATGACTGACTGAGGCAACGCCCTCATTACTGAGGATGAGGCTCCAATCCATCCATCTGCTCTATCCTACCATCACTCTTGAATAAGACAGCCAGATACTTTAACCCCTCTAGCCAGAGAGATCCAGCCATAGCGACAATATGCCTCTATTTTTAGTTCTGACCAAATATGTTGACACGCCCACAGAACATACTCTTTCTCCATTATCTGTCATTGTACCCATGTCTCCTTCTCACCACAATTGGTTCATAACACTGACAGTTTGCACCTGCCCTGCAAATGTGCTAAACATAGACTCAAAAACAGCAACCGCAATCAGTTTCACGTTTGATAAATCACATTGCAGGTGCTAAATGGTTATATTTGCATATCCTCCTCTGATAACCATCATCTGCATAGTGATGAAGGCAAACACGCTGAATAGACTGTGTTCACGTTTGCTCATTTGACAGATGTAATCCTCGATGCACCGGGTTTGTAGATCCGCTTTGCTCGAGCTATGAAGTTAGCATGTTTTTATACACGCAAACCTTCAGTAGATCAGTGTTAGAACAAAGTTCTCAATGTTCTCAATGTTCTCAAGGTAATTCCAGCAACTTTGACCTCCACCTGTATTCTGGACGTAATGGAAAACACCATTCCAAGGAAAACTGAATGTCAACTCTTTGACCATGTTTATCCTATCTCTCCCACATCAGCTCAGAAGCCCATCTTTTCCAATCAGGTAGCTAGAGCTAATTTCTCCTGTATATCTTTCCCTACTGGACATGCAAAAATAAGTAATTTGACTGCTGAATGGTGTTCTGAGACTCTTGTTGTCAGTTCCTCTTTCATCCCTTTGTCTAGGAGTGACATCTGGTGGTGGGGAGGAAGTGATCGGTTGTTTGATAAATTGCCAGCAGGCTCAAAAGGATTATTAGCTGTTGTGACTCTGTTAATGCCAATCTCACTCTATCCAACTTCTGCCAGTGAACTTTTTGCTGATTTAGGCACAGCCTTAGAGAYGACAAATCACCACAACAGGCGCAGACGTGCTGCGCTTGAACTTCCAGGTCACAATCCAACATACATTGACGCCATCGGGGTTCCGCGGGGGGTGCCTGATGAGTATAAGCTTGTTAACGAAGTAGCTGCCGGGTTTGAAAGTATTTTGCCTCACATTACAATTGCTAAGTGTAGGGGTCACCCTGGTGAAAAAAAAACTTTTCTATTGTTTATTTTCTTTGTCTTTGATTTTATTTTTACAC